CTTTGAGCAAAAATAAAAAAGAAACATGAAAAATTCATCAGGAAAGCAGAAAGGAACATTATTTTTGTTTTCACATTTTTCCCTTCAGTTCAAACTATTTAGAATTTTGTGTTTCCATCACATTTCCATCTGTTTCCATGTGTTTCCATCTGTAGCATTGTTTGGAAAAAGAACATAAACATTTGAGATATTTAGTATTTATTAAACAAGTTTTGAACATTAAATGTTTTTTAAATTGCATTCTATACTTTTTAGAATCATGTGTTCTTAAATTCATCTGGTATGTGAGATTGTTCAGAAACCGTCATTTAGACATCGTATAGTCACTGGTATAAACAGAAGAAAAGAATATATCGTCATTTTTATCATTACCGCTGTTACAACCCTGACATGTGCTGTTAAAATGTGATGGAGGGGGTAACACAAGAAACATGAAAGTAGGTTTAAAAAGGGTTTAATTGTTATAAAAGGTTCTAAAAAAATGTGCAAACAAATGGTAAGCATTATTAAAATAATGCCAAACAAAAGCCAAGACTAAAAGGTTCCCAGTTAAATGACAAATTATCAACATTAAAACACCTGGTTAAAACTTGTGTTAAAAGTTTTACTGGAACAGAAGGTGTTTTTAAAACCAAAGTCAGCAAAATGCATCACCAAGTTAACCTTTCAAAATATCCCTTTTCTTTTTAGTAAATACTCAACTCACAGTTTAAACTTTTAAAGTTAAAACTCATCAATTCAGAATGAGTTGAAACCAAAACGATGCCTGGAGGACAGCAGAACCCCTGCACTGCTGCATCCCAGACTGTTAAAGGCACAGCCTTTTTATTCCAGGTGTCGGTTGTCAGACGGGTTAGTCTCAGCTGTGCACCTCAGCAGCCAGGAGGAGAGGAGGAGGAGGGGCGTTGTCAGGCTGATCACTGGGGCTGGGTGATCATGGCTCCTGCACCTGAAGAGGCCAGGCTGGTGGCCACAACACCACCACACAATAAAATAAAAAGGACAAAAGTTTGTAAAACACACAATACCAAATTTTGTAACTTTTTCTTTAAAAGCAAGGATCACATAAGAGAGCCCCTAAAACAGACTATCTGAAAACCTAGTCTTCATGCAGAATATTGGAGGGGAGCATATATAGCACAAAAATGATAAATGACCCACACTTGTATAGCGCCTCTCAGAGTAAGGACTCCAAAGCGCTTTACACTACAGTGTATCATTCATCCATTCACACACACATTCACACACTGATGGTAATGAGCTACGATGTAGCCACAGCTGCCCTGGGGCGCACTGATAGAGGCGAGGCTGCCGAGCACAGGCGCCACCGGTCCCTCTGACCACCATCAGCAGGCAAGGTGGGTTAAGTGTCTTGCCCAAGGACACAACAGCAGAATTCTCTGTCCGGAGACGGAATCGAACATGCAACCTTCCGATTACTGGACAACCCGCTCAACCTGTTGAGCTATTGCTGCCCCATAACACAAAACCAAGGCCTCTGACTAGCACATCCCCCAGACTCCCCGGGGTGCTCCCGAGATGGTATCCAAAGAGACACCAACACTACCCTCCTCATTGCAACACTAGGTAAAAAGAACCGGACTCTCCCTAAAGAGGTAGAGCCTCTGAACCTACCTGCGGAGGTCATCGCTGGATCCAATATCTCCTCTCTTCATGCTGGGCTGGATCAGGCTCGTAGGCTCTGAGAACCCATCCAGCAATAGCGGGGGCGGGACCTCCAGCAGCACCCGCCAGTCATCCACACAGCCATCTGTTGCTTAAAACCTTAAAACAGGGGTGTCAAACTCAAACTCACACGGGGCCGAAATGAAACTCTGGGACGGAGTCGAGGGCCAAACTTAATATTTTTTGAAAAAGTGACGGCAAATTTGCACATTTTCTTTATCAACATATATGCAATTTTGAACCTTTAAATTTGGAAACAAACATATTTCTGCATTAACACTGAATGTGGAATAACCAAATTACACACAAGCAAGTCAGTTTTAAATAAAAGTCATCAGTGGTATTCATTACTTGTGGTATAATCAGCATTTTTAAAATCTATTCAGGATTTAATTTTTCTTGTTTATTCATTTTTCTTATTTTTTATTCTCCTTTTTTTCTCCTGTAATAAGTGTCATCGCTGCTGTGACATCTAGCTTTCCCCACTGAGGAACAATAAAGGGATTTTCTATTCTATTCATCTATCTGCAGCCTTTCCACTTCCTGTTTACTGTAGGTTAAATCTTTTCTCACGGGCCAACAACAAAATAAAAATATAATTTTATCTTAAATGAAAATGCAATATCTCACCTGTTAACTTTCATGTTTTGGAGCAGAAAAAGAGCATAAAACCAACATATTTAAAGCTCAGTTTGCTCCACTGGTTTACTGTGATGCTCACCTGTTCCAGCCAGATTCCTGCATCATGGGGTTGATCTGAGCTGAGGAGGAGACTCCTGTTGTTTTGTTCATCTTCATCATAATAATGACAACATTAGATGACAACAGGTGCTCACATAGGTTTGTGCTGATGAACATGTCTGAGCAGCTTGACCACGTTGTTGTGTGTCGGGGGGGAAACACGACAGTGACCACAGAGCCGTGCTGGTTTGAGTGTGTTGCTGCTCGCTGGAGTTATATCAGCTCTGTCTGGAAGTTAGTTGGAAAACTTTCTCTTTCAGTCGTGAACACATTACTGAGCGGCTAGAATCGCCGTTTCTGGGCTTCGACGTCAGAAAACAGCTGAGTGAACTCGGCGCTGAGTGAGAGGAGTGTTTAGTTTGTCCGAGACAGCGGAGCTGCAGACACCGGCAGCAGACGCTGGAAAAAAAACAAAGGAGGGGGCGCGTCAGCTCCGCGCTAACGCCACAAAGCATCATGGGAGTTGAAGTCTTTGCGGTAAAATCGGCCAGCGGGCCAGTTTTAATATATTTTTGATATTCATCTCGTGGGCCACATAAAAATGCTCCGCGGGCCTTGTGTCTGACACATGTGCCTTAAAACAAATAAAACACCATTCAAATACCACCACCAAGGGATTGTACATTTGTTCAAGGTCTGATGTAGTTAAAAATCCTGGACGAGCCCCCATTGTGTTACGTCCTCTAAAGGTGGAAAAAAGAGGGACAGGGAGTAACACAGAGACATGTGTTTCAGGTGTTAAAATTGTAAACAAGGATTTTATTTTAGGATTTTAAAAAGGCAAAAAGCTCCAAATCTAAAAGTACTTAAAACACATTGTTAAAATGACCATGGGTTTACGTTTAAAACAGACAACGAAATGCTCCCAAACATTCACAAACAAAGTCCACTGACTTATACATAAGTTTGGGAGCCAAAACGAAGCCAGCACTCTGGTCCCTCATCTGTTAAAAACCTCTAAAAGCTTCAATAAGCTCAAACAACTAAAACCCATTTAAAAGCCATTAAAACATAAACAAATGGAGCAGGTGAGAGAACTGGCGCAGATCCAGCCTCCCTCTTCCTCCTGGCAGCTCTCCCTTTTATGTTGCTCAGGAGGTGGTCAGTCCAAGTGAGTGCAGCTGTGCAGGTAGGAGAAGGAGGAGAAAAAGCACTGACTGTCATCTGCAGCTTCAGATTTCTGGGACAAACAGCAACAGCTGTAACACCGCATGTGCTTCAAAATTTATTGCGATGTGTGGTATGCTTGTCAGCCACTAGATGTGCCATCTGATAAGAGAAATACTCCGGAAAGAGACTAAGTATCTTGGGGTCTTGTTCACGAGTGAGGAAAAGCTGGAATGTGAGATCGATAGGCGGATTCATTTTCATTCAGAGCCTTGGGCTTCCCGACGACAGGGTCGCCGAAGGTGCTTTATAAATAAAGCTTTGATTGATTGATTGGTGTTGCATCTGCAGTGATGTGGGCCTTGTATCGGTCTGTCATGGTGAAAAGAGCTGATTCAGTCTCGATTTACTGGTCAATCATCATTCCTACCCTCACCTATGGTCACGAGCTTTGGGTAGTGACCGAAAGAACGAGATCGCGGGTACAAGCGGCCAAAATTTGTTTTTTCCACAGGGTGGTTGGCCTCTCCCTTAAGCCGGGCGTACACTGTGCGACTTTTTCACTTTTTTGAGCCGATTTTCCAGTCGTGCGAGAATCCAAAAGATCGGGGCGAGTTTTGCGCTGAGCGTCGTGTAGTGTACAGGGGGTTACGAGAGGCGATTAACACCACGTGACCAGCCGCCGATCAGCAGTCGTGAGGTCGCAGGGACTTCTGGTGTGTTTAATATTTCGCTCGTCCCTCGTGAGGGTATCGCACTGTTGAAGCGGCGCTGCGAGCAGCTGCGAGCAGCTACGATCCAAAAAAGTATCAGAACCGCTCACGGCGCATGCGCGCGCAATCCTGCATCAACGCCGGTCGCTCGCTATTTCGCTAATAACACACGCTGTTCGTTTTTGTTTCTACACGTTTTTTTTTACTCACAAAGATTGTCAAGAAAGCGTGTTTGTCGTGTTCATGTCAAATTAAACTGATCACAAAACAAAGATTAACTTTCTTTATTTCGTTTTCCTCATCCAACCCCCATAAATCCCTGTGTGTCCTCCTGCAGCACTCCCGAAGGACAAAAGGCAAGACAAAAAAGTCTGACGTGTTGAGTAAAAACTGCTATTTTTAGCACATTTTTAGGGCCGACGTGTTGCTACCAGATGTACAGTGTGAGCAGTCAGGTCGCATGCGAGAACTGGGTCGTACAGTGTGAGCACATGACTCGTGAGATCTGCTCTGCGAGGAAGTCGTACAGTTTGAGCTGAAGCTGAGTGCTACGAGTGAAAAAGTCGCACAGTGTACGCCCGGCGCTAGAGAGTTGATCAGTTGATCAAATCAACGATTTATTAAAAAATAAAAAATAAAATATATATATATATATAGAGAGAGAGAGAGAGAGAGAGAGAGAGAGAGAGAGAGAGATCTGTTTCCATTTGTTATTTATCATAAGGAGTCTTTATGAATGAATGATAAAGGACCTACACTTGTATGGGGTCTTTTAATCGGAGGTCTCCAAAGCGCTACAATGCATTAAGCTCCCAGATTTTGCTATCGTTCCAGTTTGCCATCTCTGCTGATTGTTTACAAATACCATACCATTTTATTTGTACAGCACATTTTAAAATACAGCATGAGAGTTGAACTAAGCGCCTTAAAGACAGTCAGAATGAACAGAATAAAAAAGATCAATAAAATATGATTAAAACAAACAATGAAAGTCAGGAACAGACAATTCAAACAATTCAACTTATAAGGTTAGATCAACTGTAAGAATAGTAAGATTAATAAAACCAGCACACAAACAATCAACAGTCCTGCCGATAAAAGCAACAGCTCAAAACAATAAAACTAAAAATATTCTTACTCCAGTCCAATAAATATGCGTTCACAATCTGAACGAGGACACTTTTTATAAAGGTTCTTTAAAATGGGCTCAAGATTGTTGGTCCTCTTTTTAATGACATCAAAGAGTTAATTCAAAACAAGTTCTTATTGAATAACTATTCGACACATCCACATTTTATTACATTTTTTCTCAAATGTATGTTACGTTGCACCACAATTTCAAAGTGAGCTGAATTGTCTTATTTTACTGTTTTCTATTTTATTTATTCTATATTTATTTTTTTAGGACACACTGATTCATGAAATTAACGGACCCCAAACCCAGGATGGAGTGGTTCAGTGAATGTTGTACATACAGTATACAGATGAGTCAGTGAGTCGGAAGAAACATCAAAGAAGCATAAAATCCCTTCTGGCCAGTCCAGATACACCCCTATGTTATTTGTTTGTGACGCCAAAAAACTGTGACAAGAATTGTTGTGGTAAAACTTTCCTTCTCTATCCCAGCACCAAGACTTTTCATTTTTTCCAAAGGAGTATTCTGTTGAACAGTCTCCCTGTCTGGGAATACTTCTGTATGCCACGCCCACCTCATCCACATTGACACAATCAACCTCCCAGTAGTGGCGGCTTGTCAGGCCTTCTTCACACAGCACCTGTGGACCCTCAAATCTCTCCGGATGATCAGGATACAGTTGCTTTTCATGAACATAAGTTGCTACTTTGTTGTCCTTGCTCAAAGCGACGTTGACTCCTGCTGTGTTAGGGTTCAGCGTCAGTTTGCAGGCATCTGCAGTCACAAAATCAGTTACTAATTCAGAAGTTTTGCCCTCATTGAACATTTCTTTTGATTTTGAATTAATTTTCAGTGCTCTTAAAAACAAATGTATTTTCTTCGTTTTTGTAACTTCTGCGCAAGCAATGACCACTAACAAATGTAAGCAGTAAATTTTAGTGGAAGTTGAGCAACAGAGAATTGGTAGAATTAAAAATGTACACTGTAGTGTATCCATCATAAATAGGCAGGGTTTGCAAAGGCCTTCTGTTGTTTGGCTGACCACCAAAGGCACTTTCCTTGCTAGCAACTATTTAAAGGGGGCATATGCAAAAATCATCTTTAACTTGATTTTGTGCAACCATATGGGTCTCCAAATGGGACAAAAAAGCATCTATTAATTTTCTCTGTGTTTGAGCTTCACAGCTTATAGCTGTCAAATAAACATGGAAGGTAAGCAGAAACACCTATAGCCTTTTTCAAACACATTAGTAAAAGGTTGTTTAATTGTACCTGGCTATTTTTTTTTGTCATTAGGTCAATTATAAACTTCTAAACTTCCAATAATTTTGAGACCTGATAATAAGTGTTTTTCATTTTTTAAATCCTCATATTTTAAATATTTGACTTGAAATAAAATGAAATAACTTTTTAACACAAGTGTCTCAGTTTCAACAGAATAATAATTATTTTTAATTATTTTAATTTTAAACCAAATCTGACATACAAAGGCAGCTTGCACACAAGCCATACTGTATAGATCATAACACACACACACACACACACACATATATATATATATATATATATATATATATATATATATATATATATATATATATATATATATATATGCACATTCCAGGGTGGCCTTTTATTGTAGGCAGTATAAGGTACACCTGTGCACTACTCAAGATGTCAGATCAGCATCTTGATGTGGTACACCTGTGAGATGAGATGGATTATCTCAGCAAAGCACAGGTGCTCACTATCACACATTTAGACTCATTTGTGGACAATGTTTGAGAGAAATGGAAATATTGTGTATCTGGAATGAATTTTAGATCTTTAAGTCCATCTCATGAAAAATCTGAGCAGAAACAAAGGTGTTGCATTTATATTTTTGTTGAGTGTGTGTGTGTATATATATATATATACACACACACATTATATATATATATATATATATATATACACACATTATATATATATATATACATATATATATATATATATATATATATATATATATATATATATACACACACACACACATATATATATATATATATATATATATATATATATATATATATATATATATATATATATATATATATATATATTAGGGCTGGGACTTGATTAATAATTTTAATCTAATTAATTACAGGCTTTATAATTAATTAATCTAAATTAATCACATTTTAATTGTTCAGGAAAATGTGCTCTCAAAGTAAAACTTTTAATTAAAATTATGAGACAGAGAATCAAACATTAGACATGGTTATTACTGTAAACTAAAGCTTTTAATAAAAAAATGCATTTTAATTATTCAAATGTCACTGTGTGATATGAAACAAAACCCAAATCAACTAAAATTTATAATTACAAATAGAAAACACCTGCAAAGGGTTCCTGAGCCTTTAAATGGTCTCTCTGTCTAGTTGAATTACTGAAATACATTTGACTTTGCACCAGATTCTAATTTTTCCAGTTTCAATTGTTTGTATAATTGGGAGTTTTTATTAGCACTTCTACTCATAATGTAGTAAAAACACATAAATAATAATCCTTCAAAATGACAGTAGAACAGGCACAAATATGATCTAGGACTTAAATGTACTAACTTTTAACACCAGAGCAGGCATGGCATATTCTGAGAATGATCAGGAACACTAACTGGTTCTAGTTGGATGACTGGAGGTTGATGGGATGATAAAAGATCATGGCGAGGAAATAATGATCTGACGAACAGGTGAGCGGACCTTCCTTACATGGTAAGTCCTGATGTCACGTTAAGAAGGGGATGCTGCAGACCTGCAGATTCACGCCTGCAGCAGCGAATCTGGTGTGATCTCCAGCCTGATCACAACTTCCTCGTTCCTCGCTGCCCCTGATGCACTTAAGCATCCGCCCCTTAGCTGATGACAGCTTCAACACACCTCGCTGCTTAATGATAGTAATGCATGTGATGTGATGTTTAGACAGTGACTCGTCTCAGAAACATATAATTCCCCAACAGAATTGTTTAGAAAATCATCAGAAAAGTTTCAGAGTGTTTCTGTTTTAACTTAAACTTCTGTTTTCAACTTTAAGACACGTTGTCTGTGATTGTTTACAGAGTAGTGAGAACACTGAGCTTTCTCCCAGCGGCAGCCAGGTGCCTCTCGTTTGTCTGACTACTTTCATAAACTACTGTTAGGACACAGAATTATTCTGTCTGGTGCTTTCAGCGCTGCACAGATGTTACGTAAATGTTAATAAAAATATAGCTTACCGCAACTTTTGTAAAGTTTCCTGTGCCACCGGGCAGCAGAGACGATCTCTAAAAAATGTCCGCGACACGGACTCCGTTGTTGTCTGGAAGTTTTTTTTTCCAAGTTAAGAAAAGAGGCGGACGTGTTTCCTAAATCCTGCATCAGTCCAAGCAAGGCAACTTCTTTCTGTTTTTATTCCGTTTTAGTAGCCATTAGCACTGTGCATTGTTGTGTGCGTCAGTGATATTCAGTCTACGAGGAAATCGTGCAATGACAAAGGTTCCGTCGTGCTTGAAATATATATATATATATATATATATATATATATATATATGTATGCATACCTATATATATACATAATACATACATATCACTTTTCTCTGTTAACCCATAATAAAGACATTAAAGAACCAAACTTCATGAATGTTTTTTGTGACAAAGAAGTATCTGTTCCAATCACTCTATCAGAGAAAAATCAGAGTTTTAGAAATAACGGGACACTCAGTAGAGCCATTATATTATATTTTTTACAAGTGTATGTAAACTTCTGACCACAACTGTATATATATATATATATATATATATATATATATATATATATATATATATACATTCATATATATACACACACACATATTTATATAAGTATGTATGTACACACACACATATTTATATAAGTATGTATGTACACACACACACACACACACATATATATATATATATATATATATATATATATATATATATATATATATATATATATATATATATATATATATATGAATGTATATATATATATATGTATGTATATGTATATATATAGGTATGTCTACCTATATATATATATGTATATATATGTATATGTGTATATATATATATGTGTATACATATATATATATATATATATATATATATATATATATATATATATATATATATATATATATATATATATATATATATATATATATATACGTGTATACATATATATATGTATATATACGTATGTATATATATGTATATGTGTATATATATATGCCAGAAAGTGAAAAGACTTACACTGCCGCAGTAGCTTCAGGTTCACCCAGCATTCTTCGTTTTGGTCCACACTAAAAAATGGAGCAGCAGCAAAAATAATAATCACATTTTAAACAGTAATAAATCACTAATACAGCTCAGACAGCTGTTTGGACATACTTGAGAGATTGTAGACTGCATCGTGAATCCTCCCGTTTTTCCATCAGCATCTGGGCTCCTTCTTCCGTGAGGTGGTTAAAGCTCAGATTCAGTTCCTTCAGGCTGCAGTGATCAGATGCCAGAGCCCGCACCAGACGAGAACATCCGTCAAATGTGACTTTACAGAATGACAGCCTGGAGACAGATATTTTTATTATTATTTTTTTTTTTTCATATCATCTCACATTACCACTAATTGTTCTCTTTATTGGTTTTATCGTCATTGCCAAATGTAATAGGAGAAGAAATGCAGGAAATTATTCTGAAAGGTTATTTCTAAAATTGTTGCACACCTATTGTTGCATGGGAAGATTAATTTGTCAAAAATTATGCAAATTTCAATCCAGCAGTCATTTTATTCTAACCTCAGAGTTTCCAAAGGGCAGAACGGGTTCTCCAGCACATTACAGAGCTCCATCACTCCAGCATCGAGCAGGTCATTCCAGCTCAGGTCTAGTTCTCTCAAAGGTGGATGTCTGGAGATGAGTGCTGATGCCAGTGTCGCACAACCTTTTGCAGATAGTTTGTTGTGACTGAGACTGAATGACAAATGAACCTTGTCAGATAAATCTGCCATTAAACAAACATCTTAGCCGTAATAAAGACAGTTATCTTATTATTCTTCACGCAACAGGTGTATGTGTCAGACAGGGTTTAAGCATCAGAGGCTTAATGAGCAATAAAACTATACAATAATTATTACTACCTCAGTGCTTTCAGTGAACACTTTGTGCTCGTTAAGGCGGCCGAGAGGATCTCCATGTCTGAATCTTTTAAAGTGTTGTAACTCAGTTCCAGCTCCTGTAGATTCGTTGAGTGAGCAGTGAAGGCTGTCGCTATCTCATTACACACTTCAGTGATCTGAAGGTTTCGGTTGAGTCTTTGAATTTGGAGAAAATCAAAAAAATTCAGAAATAGAAACCTTTAAATTTCATTAGCTTTGCTTTCTTCCTACAGTAACAGAGCTTTAAAACAAAGGTGCCTACAGCCTGGGTGAACAAATGCTTAGGATGTATAGCAGCAGGGGTCAAATTGCCATATTTCAGTGTTTAGGAATATGCTACCAACCTCAGCGTCTTCAGTCCAGGACATCTTAGCCCAGCAGAGATCACTGACAGCAACGAGCATTTCACTATGTTGTCACTCAATTCTAGCTCTTTTAGGTTTGGGATGAGGGATTCTATTGCTGACGCGAAACTTTTTTGCATTTCTCCTGAGAGCCCGTATCCCGACAAACTGCAAAGACACAGAAAAAAAAACAGCAATAATGTCATTTTTAGCAATACAATCAATTTTTAAAAACATTTGCACCTTCTTTTTTTTTGTACTTTTAAAGGGACTTTACGGACTTTTGCATTTTTATGCTCGTGAATGCCCCCTAAGGCCAAAAGCGTAACGGCAGCTTCAATAGTAGGCTCGTGCACGAGGCGCGCATGCTGTACGTGCACACTCCTTCACGAAAATATCAGCTGAGACAGTCCTGTGTGTGTGTGTGTGTGTGTGTGTGTGTGTGTGTGTGTGTGTGTGTGTGTGTGTGTGTGTGTGTGTGTGTGTGTGTGTGTGTGTGTGTGTGTGTGTGTGTGTGTGTGTGTGTGTGTGTGTGTGTGTGTGTGTGTGTGTGTGTGGACACCATGGTGTTATTTAAACTTCCTAATAAAAATGAACAACAAAAGAACAAAAGTACAGGTAAAACATCCACAAACCTTAGAGCCTCCAGTTTACAGTGCGAGTTTTCCAGTCCATCCACCAACAGCTTTGAACCTTTTTCATAGAAAGCACTTAATGTCAGGTGAAGTTCAGTTAACAAAGAGCGTGGCATCCACAAAGCTGATGAGATGGTTTCACCAATCCAGGGATCAAGATCTACACCTGAGATCCTGTAACATTGATAAGACAGAATACGTTACAATATACTGGAGCAATACAAATAATATGGCTTTGTCTACACCTTTACAAAAGCATACATTCATGACCCCAAACAGGGTCATTCACTAACAGGGTTTTTCCTGGCTCAAATTGAGGCAGAGGTGGTACCATCCTGACCCTGCGCCAGCACATGCATACTCTGTGCATTCAACTGCCTCACTTTTTTAAAGGCAAAATATTATAAAAGGCTCAATAATGTGCATTAGATTGGTGTTTAGTTCCTTTTTCCCATCTGATATTTGTAGTTAAAATATTTAATATTTGACCTACATTTCAGTAACATTTTAGGTTTGTATTAATAACACTGATCTTAGTCAAAATAACATATAAATATATCCAGTAAAATATAATGCATTTCATTAACATGCATTTGTATTGGAAATGGTTATGACATTTAATTTCTGCTGCTAAAAATGTAATGGTGGCATGTCTACTATGTATGGGTTGGCAATAATCCAATTTAAATTGCGTTCAAGCATTTGTGAATTATATACTACAACGGCTTGCCATACACCTGCTCCTGTGTGCGGAGCAGACTTGTAGCAGTCATGTGACTCGTATCTAGCCTGACAAGCAGTAGCGGTTTTAGGCACGGGCAGACAGGGCAGTTGCCCGGGGCGGCATTTTTTCATGACACAAAAGGGGCGCACAAGCACGGAGTAAAAAAAAAAAAAAAAAAAAGGAAATCTGCGCCGCACCGAGGTTTTCTATTATCTGTCATATGACAGTGTCTGGATTGGAAACAGCAAGTTGGCGCCCCCTGCTGCTGCAGGCGCTCCTGCTGACTGAGAACGTTCACGTGCACCGTGTGTCTATGAAGAACAGGAAGGGGAGGGGTGCGGTGGGGGAATTCACCTCTGCGTCTTTCCCAAATGAAATGAGCGTGCAGGGGCTGAATCAACTGTATTAACATGGCTAAAGTCAATCACATCTTAACGTTCTTCCATATTTCATTCATAATATCATAAACACAGGCCTATCATTCTTTCAGGTTTCTCTGAATTGTGTGAAATGGCCGAATAAAAAAAGGAAAAACAAAACGATTTTGTGGTCACCCCCCCCATCAAGGTCAAATAGTTTAGTCCTGACTAAAGGAAACTTACTGAGCCAGGAGCCAAACAGAAGAGATGAACATAAAAAGGCTAAAACCACCAGGTGCCCCCATTCAGGGGGAAAAAAGAAAAAAGAGGAGAAAGATAAAGGTATGTAGCTCTCATGATGCATGTTTTCAATTTTTTGAACCAGTTAACTGGGATTTTAACGGTTAAATGCGGTCAACTAATTGCTAACAGAGCTAATAGGGCTGAAATATTGAAACGAATATTCAAATGGTTCGAAAAAAGTCCTTGAAACGTTTTTTACTGATTCAAACTAGGATTTGTTAAATGCTCACTGCAGCCTGTGGCCTGCCTGAACAACAACAAACACATGTTGATCATGTTCACATAATAATAAATAAAACAACTCTACAAGCAGAAGAAAACTCCCCAGGCACCTCTAACTATCCTATTTATTTATTGCAGATGGCTGCACTGATTATTTTTACATGATTTGTTCTGTAAAAGTTGGCATTTTTGGTAGTCTACAGTTTTATTTATGTCAGTTTAAATTACAATTTCAGAGGCAATTCTAAAATATTATGGATCATGATAAAGATCTATTGGAGATCTACCCCAACTTTTGGACTGCTCTGCCAGTCACTGTGGCTCAAGCTGAGAGGAGCTTTTCAAAACTTGATCAAGTCATGCCTGAGGTCACCTGTGTTTCAGGGGCGGCTCACTAACCTGGCTCCGATTAGTATCAATCACTCAGTAGGGGAGCAGATTTCATGTGATGACATTATTGATGACGTTGCATCAAGGTTAGGTTTTAATTTTAGTTTGTGTTTTCTATTCTAAGTGCAATGCTGTGGTGATTATCTTTAGTTTGTTATGTGTGAAATATTTTTGCTATTTAGAATATTTATTATATATTATGTTCATATATTCTTAATATTTAGTTATTGTTTGTTTTTGTATATTTGATTCTATATATTTTGATACAGTATATAATGTATAGTGCTTTACATTCTGACAACTTCATAGTAATTAATGTAAATATGTGCAACTTAGAAAAATGAATGTTCAATAGTCATTCTAATAAAACATGCCTGTTTGTAGAAAACATGCGTGTGTTCATGCAGGTGGGGTTGTGTGGTGGTGGTGGTGGTGGGGGGGGGGGGGGTTGGGGGGCGCTCAAAAGGGGCCTCGCCTGGGGAGTAATTCGATGTAGAACCGCCACTGCTGACAAGCCAGACTATGTATGTGAATATATAGGTTTCCATTCCAGAGCTCCACAAGTCATCAGCCCGCACAGCAGACAGAAGCCGCGATCAGACAGAGATGCGGGGAGGGAAGAAACGGGTGGAAAACAGAGGTCTCCCGAGAGATCCACAAGCCGATAGTCGGAACCCAGCTCCACCAACATGTTAAATTTCAACCCATTTTCTAAAGTGCAGCATTATGTTAAATGCACTGGGTTTTACCCTATTACATTTAAATTTCATGGTTAAACAGTACATGTTAAAATCTTCGTTCAGCTCGGCAGTGACCTAAAATACATAAATATAATTTTACTTACCCAAAAAAATGAAGTGGAGAATCCATGGACGCTCTATTAGCGCAATTAATGCCACAGCAAGTCATTTTGTCCAACAATTGCACAAAAAATATACAAAAAAGAATACACAAACACAGACACTCAAAATCCCGGAACAGATCCCAAGCCAGACCGAGGCTCTACTGAGGCCTTTCCACGGAGCTAGCTCTGTGGTCACGTGGGTCTGATGCTCATTAATTATACAGAATTTTAGGCTTTTAATACACTTAAACAGAAGAGTGAGAGGAAAAAAATTCACCCCCCTCAGAGTTGTCATGAGTGTAAACTAGATCATTTAAACCAAAAACATGTTTTGGAACCAGGTTGTAAACATGTTTATTTCTGCTGTGAAATTGGTATTTTTAACATGGGAGTCAATGAGGATTTGCTCGCTTCTGACACCAGCCCCCAGCGGATGAGGGTGGAACTGCAATTTTTGGTACTTCCGGGTTGGCCTCAATTTTTGAGCCGCAATGTGGGGGCTTGGTAGCAACTAGTGAGAAAAGCTATTATTGATCTTCTTTTTCTGCAGCGGTTTTAGCGCTTTTTGGTGCACTGCTGCTGATACAGCACCCCTGTAGTGGCGCAACGCTGCAACTGCAGTTAAAATAACATCCATAAAGCTGGGGGCAGAGTGAAATCAGGCTGGGGCGGCACACAATTAGCTGGAGGCGGCCGCCATGCAAATTTGAATGCAGGAAAAACCCTGTAAATGTCATATCAATATTTAACACCTTTTAATTATTTATGTGTTTGTACCAACTACCTTCAACACATACTACCAACACACATAAACCTGGGCATGGTGTCCACACCTACATCTGTCTAAAAGTCAAGTCAAATTATAGTTTTAGGTGTTGTAAGATCCTCTGAGTCTGAACACTCAGGAAGTGCTGCTGAAAGCCCCGCCTACTCACCCACACACATTCATGGTGTCTTTAAATATTGAATGTGAGCGCCTGCTTTGCAAGTTTTTGTTTCAGGTTTATGCAGCGAGACTTGAGGCAGGACCATCCAAGGATGACTGGAGAAGCCTGACATCATTCTCATCTCAACCCAACTCCACCTCCAGCCCAGAGAGCATCTGTGGGCAAACATTTGGTGTGAGAGCTTTTTGCTCCTTGCTTGATTTTGTTAACCCTTTAACTTTAAATATGGTGTTGCACCCCTTGTAGTAATACAAAGTAAAAGCGGAATATGGTAGAAATTATTTAAATGTAGCCACTGGAAGAGATTTTGACTCTACTGACCTACTGTGAATGTGCAGGAAGGTCAACAAGCTGTGCTGACTTTGGATGAAAGCAGCTGCTGCTGGAGCAGGTGGACCAGGAAGTGTTTGTACAGAAGACAGAGACCTGGTTTGGGTTCAAGCAGTCTGATGCTGAGCATAAAAACATCTTCAGTAAAATATGCTGGGTGGCAGTAAAGTCTCATTAGCGCTAATTCCTTTTGTAACGCACGATTAACACACAGGCTGCCAAAGTTTTTAGACTTTAATCTGAACAAATTCTTGGATTGTACAGATTAAATTGTGATATATAGATTTAAGGCCAGATGATCCATTCCTAACCCCTCGATGTTGTCATGGATTTGAGCTGGGTTGTGACTAATTATCCATCCATTCATCCATTTTCTTCCGCTTATCTGGAGTCAGGTTGTGGGGGGCAGTAGCCTAAGTCGAGGGGCCCAGACTTCCCTCTCCCCAGCCACTTGGGCCAGCTCTTCTGGGGAAATCCCAAGGCGTTCCCTGGCCAGGTGAGAGACATAGTCCCTCCAATGTGTCCTGGGTCTCCCCTTAGGTCTCCTCCTGGTTGGACGTGCCCGGAAAACCTCACCAGGGAGGCGTCCAGGAGGCATCCTGACCAGATGCCCGACCCACCTCAACTGGCTCCTCTCGATGTGGAGGAGCAGCGAATCTAATGCCAAACGTTTTGTATTCACGTTACAAATGAGTAAATGTACTTTGTTCCTCACTGGCTCCAGTAGAAGAAAATATGGCCCAGAGTCTTAGACCTGCTCCCAAGTATTTTAGACCCGATTTTTGTGGTCATGTTATGAAGCCGCCAATATTTTTCAACAACATTTGATGGATATTGCCAGAGATTAATCGTAAAAACTACACAACATCTCTTTTAACCCTCCCACTGTCTTTATGGGTGACCCCGCGAGGAAAGGTGACCATTGAGCAGGATTGATGGTTTATCCCTTGAAGTCCATGTGGCAGGGCTGAGGTGGTGCTCACTCCTCACCCCTGCCACATGGACCTCAAGGGATAAAACATCAACCCTGCTCAATGGTCAACTTTCCTCATGGGGTCACACCCATTAGGACAGTGGGAGGTTTAAACATCTTTAAATCAAATATAAGATACAAGTACAAGCATATTTATTGTAAAACTCAGCTTACCTTAGTTTTCTGCTGTTCCTCACAGCCGGGAGAAGCCGAAAAAGACCTTTCACTGTCGGTCTGTATTTTTTGGGGTTGAATTCCTCTAGAGGTGTCTTTGACATCAGAATTAGGTCGGCCAAAGCTGAGCACTGAACAGGGGACAGTTGTGTTTCTGGAGCTTGGTTGGAATTCACAAACTGCCTCACAGTGTCGTACAAGGTGCTGTCTTTCAGTTCAGCCAAGCAGTGAATGAGGTTCAGACATCTATCAGCGGAGCAATCTAACAAATCTATGTCAGTTAGACTTTTCCTAATCTCCTCAACAACTTCGGAGTGGTCCTCTGTCTGCTGAATTAGTCCTTGAAGCAGTTCTTGTGTTGACTTCAGAGACATGCCGATGAGAAATCTGAGGAACATGTCCAGCTCTCCTGTCTTCCGCAAAGCTGAATTGGCTATTGCAATTTCCATTAGCTCATCCAAGGGTAGATCCACTGGATGTTCCTCCAACTTGGCTTTGAGTTCCTCTTCAGATCCTATCAGCAGGAAGTCCTTGAGGTTTGGAGAATCGATCCTTTTGCTTGCAAAACTCTTGTAAACAAAGAGAGCAGCAAAATACTCCTGAATTGTCAGGTGCACAAAGCAATAGTCTCTTTGAGTTAAACACACTCTCCTCTTTGAATATGGCCGTGCACAATCCACAGTAGACTCCAGCTGTGTCAATGCTAATGTCATACTTCTTTAGATCATCACTGCTGAATATGATTTCCCCCTTTTCCAGTTTTTCAAAGGCCATTCTGCTTAGCTTGAAAATAAACTCCTCGTTTGACTTGAGGATCTCTGCCGTATCTGAGTAACTCTTACTGCCATATTTGTCGGTAGCTACCTCCATCTGAATGCAAAAGAAGTGGGTGTACATTTCAATAAGAGTCGTAGGTGTCTTTATGGTTTCTTGTGGAGAATTTTCTTTTCTTAAAAGCAAATGCTCGAGAACTTTTGAGGCAATCCAGCAAAAGATGGGGATGTGACACATGATGTATAAGCTCCGGGATATTGTAATGTGGTTAATAATTTTTTCAGCAATCTTTGGATCTTTAACTCTGTTCTTGAAGTACTGGGACTTTTGTGGATCATCAAAACCTCCGACCTCTGTCCACTGACAGATGTATTGTTTTGGGATGCGCTGAACTGCTCCCGGTCTTGAAGTTATCCAGACAAGTGCAGAGGGAACAAGATGTTCCCTGATCAGATTGGTCACAAGAGTGTCTGCTGAAGACGTCTCTGTGGGATCGGTCAACAGTTGTGTTGTTCGGAAGTTCAGTTCAAATTGGCTTTCATCAAGGCCATCAAAAATGAACAAAACCTTGTGGTTGACAAATATTTTTGCAACTGTTATATTTTTAAGCTCCGGGTGGAATTCTTTTACAAGTTTCTCAAGACTCAAATCCTTATCTTTGACTAGGTTTAGCTCCCTAAACGGAAACATGAAAATAAAGTCCAGGTCTAGATTGGCTATTCCATCTGCCCAGTCGAGGATGAATTTCTTCACAGAGACGGTTTTCCCAATCCCAGCAATTCCTTTCGTCATCACCGTTCGGATGGCTCTCACCTCTCTACCATCAGTCTCTGGCGTTGTGTAATCCTCAGGTGTACTTTTAAAAATGTCATTACAGTTGATTGTGATGCCCTCTGCTGTTTGATTCCTAAACTTATCTTCAAGCTCCCAAATCTCGTGCTGTTTATTGACAAGTTCACTCTCTCCGCGGACGATGTGAAGTTCTGTGTAGATCTGGTCCAACGATTTCATCTCCTTACGGGCTTTTTCACTGCCTTCATACTCCCACGTGCACTTTTTTCTCAGATATTCTTTGTTCTTTTTGATGACATTTTTTAAAGCGTCTTCAGTTGTAAGAATAAAAGTTAAAAAACATTTTACAGCAATGGCAATTGTATATATTAATATCAATCGTAACATTGTGCATTGTGATTACTATGTCTTAAGTCAAAACCTGAAGAAAAAAAACTCACCTTCAAAACTTTCTGGTTCAGTTTCTCTGAGGCTTCTGTAAAACGCTGATTTGAGCCTGTTAGTTGTAAGTACTCTGAGGAGTTCTCTCATCTGATCCTGGGTTGTTGCTAAAGTGCAGATTTGGTTATAAGTCTCTCCATGGATCATGCCTTCTTGACGCATCTGGTCAGCTATGCACTTTGCTGAAGAGACAGTCTGAATAAGATCTGCCCTTTTGCTGTCCACCCATTTAGCTTCAAAAATAAAATAAACACGGTTAAAATATGACACAACAAAGAAAACTACCAGATTTTTTACACACATTGAAATAATTGGTCAAATGTTTGGGAATGGCAAGTGTTGGTTTTGACAGAGTTTGCTACTTTAGGTTTTAGATCTTATTCCAGATGGTTCAGTGGTTGCTGAAGTATTTTACTATGACTTTTAAATGCGTTAATTTACGATTAAATTTGTTTATATTAAGTGTTGCAGTGTTGGTCCTTCTGGATCAGGAACTCTTGACATCACCGCAAATGGTTCCAGAACGCTTTACTGTTGCACAGGATTGATTGATATTAGCCAACTTTAGCCAAGTTTTCTGAAACCAAATTTCTGGTAATTCCATCTCTGGTTATTTTCTTGGGCAGACACTGCTTCTTTACTGTTCCTTTGGATGCTGATCCAACATTTTTCTCTTCACCTGCCGGAGAAACCTCTACCCTAACCCTAACCCGAGCCGTGCTGTAGAAGAAACCTTTAGGAGATGGTCCTGGTGCCAGCTGGATATTCTTAGGCACCCTCAAGACGTTTCTTGATGAAAATGAAAGTGAACACGCTTGGTCTTTCTTTTTCATGTCAAAGGACATTGCAGTTGAATGCTGTTCTCTCTAGCATATTAACGCTGCCATCATAAAAGCTGAGGCAGAAAACTTTGTAACAATATTAGTGCGACTCTCAAAGCTTTTGTGGCCTGGATTAAGCAGCATGAAAAGAATGGTGTACTGTACAACTCACCTTCCTCTTCAAAAGTAGCTGACAGATGATCAGATGGACTGTCAAGACAAAAGCAACTTCATTTTACAGAGTTACCAATTAGATAGGCTTACATCTCCAATTGGTGACTTTTTTGTCGGATCGATAATTATACAGGTTATTATTAAAGGGACGTTATGGAAGTTTGACAGCCAAAACATGAAGCTTTATTTCTGAAATGTATTTATTATCATCGTCATTAAATTGAAGTTAGACAGATGACTTGATTATGACTTGAACATTCAAAGTTAAGGACTTGGACTTGACTGTCTTTGACTTGGACTTGACTCGAAACTTCACTGGAAAAGACTTGTGACTTACTTGTGACTTGCAAAGCAGTGACTTGGTCACACCTCTGGAAAATTCCCAATGGTGTATAACATATCTCAATTGTAACTATTTATAAACTTAAAGGGGCATTATGGAAGTTTGACAGCCAAAACATGTATAGAAATAATAAATTTCTTGTTCATACATTCTCCTGCAATGCCCTGGTCCTGTAGAATGAGCCCTGGCATTTTTACTGTGATTGCCTGTTTTCTGTAAAATCACAGAAAAAGAGAGCTGCTCGGGTCAAGCAGGCTGCTTCATGCGCGTTCACGCTCAGGCATAGCCCGTAGCATTTGTTATCCATAGCTTTAGCAGCAGAGAGAGAGAGGCAGTGCCAACTCAGCAACTTTGTCGCTGTTCCTAACGCCTAGTGATGAACCTAGCTACATTTCTGAGGACCCTTAGCTACTTTCTGTAGAACTTTCTTCAAGATATTTCCTGCAAATTAGCAACAAAATAGCCATTTTCGCTCCAAACCGTTCTTTGGATTGATGTTGTTTCAGCTGTCATCAAGGATATAAAAGTTAAAGATACTTTGTATGTTACTGGTGTGTAGCTCACCTAGTAAGATGTCTGACTCCCATGTAGAAGACTTGGGTTCAATTCTGGATGTAAACATAGTTTATTTAGAGTTTCTTTTTTACATTAATGGTATATTTTTTTTACAGTAAGATGCCCAAATTTTTATCTGAGACTCGCCGAACGGCACTGAATTCACAGATAAAAAAGATGTGGGTTCAACTTTCATTTTGGAACAATTTTTCAAGCAAGGGAAGGGAATGATCTGAGCATGCAGGGGGACTGACCCATTATAAACCTTTGTCAGCTGTGCTGAAGAGAAAGGTACAGAACCAAATTATTTAATTAATTAGCTGTGCATTCTCCTGTCCTCCACCCCCCACCCCCACCCCCACACACAAGGGACTGTCTCAGCTGTTATTTTTGTTAAGGAGTGTGCACGTACAGCATGCGCGCCTCGTGCACGAGCCTACTATTGAAGCTGCGGTTACGCTTTTGGCCTGAGGGGCAATCGTGAGCATAAAAATTCACGGACTTTTGAATTTTTATGCTTGCGATTGCTATGCTGCTAAAGCTACGGATAGCAAATGCTACGGGCTATGCCTGAGCGTGAACACGCATGAAACAGCCTGCTCGACCCGAGCAGCTCTCTTTTTCTGTGATTTTACAGAAAAACAGTCAATCACAGTGTGACGTGCACCGTCTACTTTTGGCCACAAGAGGCCCTCGGTCCACTGCCTGCACAGCTGCAGGCTGTTAGATAAATTGAGCCTCCCTGTTAAAAGGGAGCTCTGGGAGATATTCTGGAAGAGATGTTCAGAAGGGTGTTGACACGGAGGTGTTTGCTCTCCTCTCTAGCTCTCCTCGCTTTACAGACGTTAAAGTCTCCGTTCGCTATCTGAGTGGTATTTCTTCGTTTTGTTACCTGAGTGGTATTTTCGTTTGTTTTGCAACCTGAGTGGTATTTTGAGTTTTGGTAATATTAGTAGTAATTCGTGTGTCCTCGTTACAGAGAGACTTAGCTCACCCTTTTGGTGCAGTTTTGTGTTTACCGTTTAGCCTTATTCTAGCCTTGTGCTGTGTTCCTTAGTTTATTATTAGATATCGTTTCTTTATTAGAAATCCCTTTTGTTTAACAATACCCAGTCGTGGAAGACCTTTTTGTTCTCTTTTCAGCCAAGAGCTTCGTTTTTGTTTAATAAATATCTTGTAGAGAACTATAAAAGTGTTTGTTTCATTCCGGTACAACATCTTCTTTACTCCCTTAATCACATCGTGCTCCTAGCGAAGCCGAGGGACGTAAAAGAGTGGGGGCTCGTCCGGGATTTTTTGTTATTTATAACATTTTTACCCGTAATTTTCATTTGTACTGTGCTTGGAACTAACCTTTTATTTTTTCTCTTAGAGGCGAAGCAGGAATCATGTCTACCTTTGACGTACAGGCATTTGTGGAGGCTCCATCGCGCCGGCTGCTGGAGAATTGCAGAAAATCCGATCTGCAGCAGGTTGCCGCCCACTTCAGTCTGCTCGTCCCCAAGCAGCTAACGAAAGACGCCCTACGTCAGTTCGTCTTGGATTTCCTGGTTGCACAAGAGATTCTTCCGCCTGTGTCACGCCCTCCGTCACCACCGGTGACTAACGAAGAAGAGAGGATGGAGAAGCCTGAACTAGCCTGCTCCTCGGAGTCTGCTTCACCTCAGCAGAGCCCTTCGTCATCTCCGTTAACCGGAGCTCGCCTGAAACTCCGACTGGCTCGTTTGCACATTGAGGCCGAGGAACGACATGAGATTGAACTCAAAAGACTGGACGCGGACATTCGACTGAGAGAACTTGAGCTCACGTTACAGAGCAGGAAGCGTGATCCTGCCACTGTTCGGACTGTTCAACCAGCCAAGGACTCAGACGCCGCCATTTCGCCTCCCCTTGGGGATGTCCAACCGCCATCTGAGACTCCGCTTACTCCTACATCTTCTACGACACCATTCGACATCAGCAAATGCCTCACACTCCTGCCTCCCTTCCGAGAGACTGAAGTGGATGGGTACTTCCTTGCTTTCGAGAGGATGGCTGCGATACTCCGGTGGCCTCGCGATGTCTGGCCTTTGCTTTTGACCTGTAAGTTGACAGGTAAGGCTCTTCAGGTGGTGTCTGCTTTGTCTCTAACAGACAGTGCTAATTATGATACGGTAAAGTCTACTGTTTTGCACGCTTACGAACTCGTACCGGAAGCCTACAGGCAACGGTTCCGCTCCGAAACACCGCGAGACAATCAGTCTTGCGTCGAGTATGCTCATAACAAATCGGTTTTGTTTGAAAAATGGTGTGTTGCTTCTCATGTCACTTCACTAGCTGAGCTCAAAGAGCTAATCCTCTTAGAGGAATTTAAGAGACATGTCCCCGAAAGACTAGTACACTACTTAAATGAACAGAAGGTTACTTCCTTCTCCGAAGCCGCCTTACTCGCTGACCAGTTTTCTCTCACCCATCGAGTCAAAGAAACTCGTTCAGAGCCCGTACGAGGAGTCAAATCTCCTCCTAAACTTCGCCCTGCTACTGAGAGTTCTGAGTGTTTTTACTGCCACAAGCGTGGCCATGTCATCAGGGACTGTTATGCTCTAAAGCAGAAAAACAGACGAAACGGCGACTCGCCCAGAAAAACCCGACCGGAAGTGGCTCTTTGTTCATTAAAACCCTGTGCTGGGATAAATGTAACCAAGCCCAACTCAAGCTACAAACCATTTTTGTCAGAGGGGCGTGTATCACTTCCGGGTTCTGCAACAGATGAAAAAGTGGTGATATTAAGAGACACCGGAGCTTCACAAACGCTAATTAAAAAGAACGTTTTGCCTTTTTCCGAAATGAGCCGAGCTGGCTACTCTGTGATTTTACAAGGCATTGAAATGAGAACAGTTGTTGCTGAAGTGCATCAGATTAATCTGTCTTGTCCTTTAGTTTCTGGTATTTTTGCTGTGGCTGTAGTGGACGATCTGCCAACGAAAGGGGTGGATCTTATCCTGGGAAATGATGCCGCAGGTGGTTTGGTTGTGCCTGTTCCTGAGCTCATCACAGAACCAGAGGTGCAAGAGAGTACTGACAGTTTGCCTGCCTGTGTTATAACTCGAGCTCAAGCAAAGAGGGATCCAGATATAACCCTCCAAGGTTCCGTTCTGAGCAAGCTTTTCTCAGATTCTGGTAAACAACCAGATTCTGCCGTTCGTGTGTTGCCTCAGGTTACTCCTGAGAACTTCCCCATAACCTGTGATGCTCTAGTGGAAGCTCAAAATTCAGATGAAACTCTGAAGCCCTTCTTTGCCCTAGCTTTTGCTGATGTTAACTCTGCTAGTGGCACTACTGCTTATGTGCTAGAAAATGACATTTTGTTTCGCTGTTGGGCTCAGCCCTCTGCAAAAGGGGCTGACTGGGGGAATGTGAAACAGATTGTGGTACCGGTTAAGTTCCGTTCCCACAGTTTGGCTCTAGCTCACGAGAGTGACTGGTCTGGACATTTGGGAATAAACAAAATGTATGAGTCCATATTGTGCCATTTCTTTTGGCCCGGATTAAAACGCCAGGTCTCGGACTATTGTAAGTGTTGTCCAACCTGCCAGACCGTGGGAAAACCGAACCAGAAAATAAGACCAGCACCCTTACATCCCACTCCTGTGATCTCCACCCCGTTCGACCACATAGTCATCGACTGTGTAGGTCCACTTCCTCCATCTCGTTCAGGAAAGAAATATCTTCTCACTATTATGTGTTCTGCCACCCGCTTTCCTGAGGCTGTACCGTTATCTTCCATTACAACTGCTAACATCATTAAGGCCCTAACAGGTTTCTTTTCTGTGTTTGGAATGCCTAAAGTCATACAATCGGACCAGGGCACCAACTTTACCTCACAGGTTTTTGCTCAAGTAGCAGAGACCTTGCACATTGAACATCACAAGTCTTCTAGTTACCACCCGGAAAGCCAGGGAGTCGTGGAAAGATGGCATCAGACTCTGAAGTCCATGTTAAAGAAATATTGTTTTACCTCTGGCAGATCTTGGGAAGATGGTCTGCCATTTGTGTTATTCGCTGCTCGGGACACCATTCAGGAATCCACTGGATTCAGTCCCCACCAACTTGTTTTTGGCCACTCTCCACGGGGCCCCCTCAAAGCCCTGAAAGAGAAGTTTTTGTGGCCAGCTCCCTCTGCAGGTGTTAGTGCACTTTTGTTTGTCAAGACGTTCCAGAAAAGGCTAAGGGAGGCTAATCTCCTAGCTCAGCAACACTTAAGCAAAGCAAAGCAGAAAATGAAGGTAAAGTTTGACAAAAAAGCAGTTGTTAGAGTGCTACAACCTGGAGACCAGGTTTTGTTATTGAGTCCTGTTGTGGGTTCCTCTTTGTCTCCAAAGTTTGAGGGTCCTTTTGAGGTTCTCTCCAAGCTCAGTGAAACCAATTATGTGATCAGGACTCCTCTAATGAGAAAGAAAACCATGACTTGTCATGTGAATCGTTTGAAGCTATTTCATGAACATGTTACCACTGTGACTCAGCCTTGTTTAGTCTCTGCAGATGTTTCTCCCCCACTGCCTGATACTGTGCAAGATGATGCTGTGACGTGGAGTTCGCTGCCCCCTGTCACCCCACGTCTCTGCAACTCCGAAGCTCTCTCCAACCTGTTGTCCAGTTTGGGTCACCTCACCTCTTCGCAACAGGAGGAGCTTTCTCATTTAATTCACTCTTTTCCAGAACTATTTTCAGATGTGCCCAGTCAGACCCACCTAATAACTCATGACATCAGCCTTACTGATTCCGTCCCCGTTCGTATGCACCCTTACAGGGCTAGTCCGATGAAGAGGGAACTAATGAGAAAGGAGGTGACTTATCTATTAGAACATGGCCTAGCAAAGCCCAGCACCAGTTCCTGGAGCTCGCCATGTTTATTGGAAAATAAACCTGATGGCTCACATAGGTTTGTTACTGACTACCGCAAGTTAAATGCAAAAACCGTCCCAGATTTGTTTCCTTTGCCTCGTGTAGAAGACTGTGTGGATAGTGTGGGTTCAGCTACATTTGTCACTAAACTGGATCTTCTAAAAGGCTATTGGCAGGTGCCGCTAACTCCGTTTGCATCTAAAGTGTCTGCTTTCGTCACTCCAGATAACCTGCTCCAGTACACCGTGTTGCCGTTCGGTTTAAGGAATGCCCCCGCTACTTTCCAGCGTCTAGTGAACCAGGTTTTGTGTGATGTGCCTCATTGCAGCGCGTATCTTGATGACATAGTCATCTACACTCAGTCCTGGGATCTGCATCTCCAGATATTAGCTCAAGTCTTTGACCGCATAAAGATGGCTAATCTGACTCTAAATCTCGCCAAGTGTGAGTTCGTGAAAGCCACTGTCTGTTATTTAGGGAAGGAGGTAGGACAGGGCCAAGTGAGGGCGCTGTCTGATAAAATCCAGGCTATTGTTTCATTTCCGCCACCAACCACACGCAGAGAACTCCGTCGATTTCTGGGCATGACCAGGTATTACTGCTGTTTTTGCCGTAACTTCTCCACTGTTGCCAAACCTCTCACAGATATGTTAAGCACCAATATCCCATTCTCTTGGACCTCTGAATGTAACCAGGCGTTCCTTGCTCTGCGTGACCTACTCTGTTGTGCCCCAGTTCTTACAGCTTCTGACCTTTCTCGACCTTTCAAGCTTGAGGTCGATGCCTCTGATGCCGGAGCCGGAGCTGTGCTTCTCCAGGAAGATGCTGGTGGACTTGATCACCCCATCTGCTACTTCTCAAGGAAGTTTAACCTTGCACAACGCCGTTATTCCACCATAGAGAAGGAGACCCTAGCCCTCATATGGTCCCTGCAACATTTTTCTGTTTATGTTGGCAACAGTGCATTCACCACCATTGTGTTTACAGATCATAATCCGCTGGTCTTCCTCCACCGAATGTACAACCACAATCAGCGCTTGATGAGATGGGCTCTCCTCCTCCAAGAATTCAACTTGGACATCCGCCACAAGAAAGGGACAGAAAACCTCATGGCTGACGCCCTTTCCCGCAGTTTTTCGATTGAGACTCCCTTGTAGGTTTTAGATTGTTCGATCTCTGATAAGGCTAGTGTTGTCTGTTCATTCAGACATCTCGGGAACACTCCGCGGCGCTGGGGATCAGCGCCGTGAGATATTTTGTGTTTAATCTGCCCACCTTTGAGATCTAGGGGTTAGTTAGTTAGTTTTTTTTTTTTGTGTGTAGTTAGCGGGAGTTCTCTTTAGTTCGTCATTTTTAGTTGTTGTTTTGAGGGGGGGAGTGTGACGTGCACCGTCTACTTTTGGCCACAAGAGGCCCTCGGTCCACTGCCTGCACAGCTGCAGGCTGTTAGATAAATTGAGCCTCCCTGTTAAAAGGGAGCTCTGGGAGATATTCTGGAAGAGATGTTCAGAAGGGTGTTGACACGGAGGTGTTTGCTCTCCTCTCTAGCTCTCCTCGCTTTACAGACGTTAAAGTCTCCGTTCGCTACCTGAGTGGTATTTCTTCGTTTTGTTACCTGAGTGGTATTTTCGTTTGTTTTGCAACCTGAGTGGTATTTTGAGTTTTGGTAATATTAGTAGTAATTCGTGTGTCCTCGTTACAGAGAGACTTTGCTCACCCTTTTGGTGCAGTTTTGTGTTTACCGTTTAGCCTTATTCTAGGCTTGTGCTGTGTTCCTTAGTTTATTATTAGATATCGTTTCTTTATTAGAAATCCCTTTTGTTTAATAATACCCAGTCGTGGAAGACCTTTTTGTTCCCTTTTCAGCCAAGAGCTTCGTTTTTGTTTAATAAATATCTTGTAGAGAACTATAAAAGTGTTTGTTTCATTCCGGTACAACATCTTCTTTACTCCCTTAATCACATCGTGCTCCTAGCGAAGCCGAGGGACGTAAAACACAGTAAAAATGCCAGGGCTCATTCTACAGGACCAGGACATTGCAGGAGAATGTATGAAGAAGACATTTATTATTTCTATACATGTTTTGGCTGTCAATCTTCCATAACGCCCCTTTAAGTAGAGGAAACAGAAGTCTTACCTGTTTGTGTTAACTCCAGCTGTTGTACACTGCTGTGAAGGACCAGCTCTCTCTACAGTACAAGATGCTTCTTCTCTTCGACAACCTACAGTCTCCTCTCTTGTTGTTTGCTCTACATGTCCTTCCTCTTCTGAAACAGATGGCTTCTTCTGTTCAAGTGAGGAATTTTCTCCACTTTTCTCTAAGTCAGAATCTTTGTCTTTAGTTTGATTAGTTTTTTTCTTCCCTTTGGTTTTGCCCCTCATATTCTGGACAGAGCACGAATTCCCCATGTTGTTTATTCATCACTGCTCAGGGACCCTGTCATTGGGGGTAAACAGGTTCTCACTTAAATGCTACTGTCTGAACAATGGAAGCTAACTTGTGACTCGTGTGCAGGCCAGGCGACGGGCCCGGGGATGAGATATTAGATCCCCATTCACACACACACACACACACACACACACACACACACACACACACACACACACACACACACACACACACACACACACACACACACACACACACACACACACACACACACACACATTTCTATACCAACTGACAGGAACTCTGAATTTGCTGCCACTCCTTGTCTGAGAAGCAAGATTGTTTACGATATTCTCTTTATCTCGATCTCTTACCCAGAATCTTCAACGGGACAGTGGATCCCTCCTGCTCCGACGAGATGCTCCGTCTTTTCTCTCACTGGCATTGAAGGACGTAATCCAAACTAATAACCTTTAATATTATAACCAGCTAGCTTATTTTACAAGGCTGATATCTCTTAGGCTTTTATTTTCTTATCCTCTTTGCTTTTTTGTACACCGGACTTGAGCAAACCAGACGTTTGGAGCACACAAAATGAATGACATCAGCGGCCAAACCATTTAAGAGTGAAAGTGAAAAGCAGCTTCTGGGTCGGCCTCGTGTTTAACTAATAATTAACCTCCCTGCTCAACTGCATACATGTTTTAGTTTAGCTGGAAATAACATTGTAATGTATTGTTTTTCATCTATAATCAAGAAAAACTACTTTTGTAGATTTTTGCAAACACAAAAGAGAAGACGGGAGGAACATTTTTAGCTTACCAAAATGTGAGCATGGTGTTATCTACACAGCTGCAGATGTCTGACTGGGACAGGAAACAGACCTTCAGTAGGCGGACTCAACTGTGTGTGTGTGTGTGTGTGTGTGTGTGTGTGTGTGTGTGTGTGTGTGTGTGTGTGTGTGTGTGTGTGTGTGTGTGTGTGTGTGTGTGTGTGTGTGTGTGTGTGTGTGTGTGTGTGTGTGTGTGTGTGTGTGTGTGTGTGTGTGTGTTCTTGTACATACTACATAATGAGGACTATTTTGACCATTTTCCTTACAAAGTGAGGACATCTTTTTGGTCCTCAGGTCAGCATTGGTTATGGTTAGGGTATGGGTTAGGCATAGTGGAGTCACAAAAATGAATGGAAGTCAATGGAGGGTCCTCACTATGATAATAGAAAGACAGGTATGTGTGTGTGTGTGTGTGTGTGTGTGTGTGTGTGTTTGTGTGTGTGTGTGTGTGTGTGTGTGTGTGTGTGTGTGTGTGTGTGTGTGTGTGTGTGTGTGTGTGTGTGTGTGTGTGTGTGTGTGTGTGTGTGTGTGTGTGTGTGTGTGTGTGTGTGTGTGTGTGTCGGCTTGGGGGGGAAATTCTAATAACTAAAAATTAACTATTTTTTTACAGGTTATATGTTAGTTTGATGAAATGAAATGTTAGTTGGTCACATGCATTCTGTAAATCCTGTAACGTTGATGATGACAACTATATAGGCCATAAAGAGAAATGTGTATTGTGTTCTTTTGTCACGTTTCCTATGAGCACACTAAACCTACAGCTGCTAACCTTTACTTATTATTACAGTCATGTCTTCATATGCAATATATGATATCCACGAGCACGTGAGGATGTGTTTCAGCTACTAACAGGCACCGGAATTAAAATAGAAAATTAAACAAGAGTGAACGCAGACACGATATCTTCAGCCATCGTCACCCCCGAGCTACACATGCAGGAAAATGTGTCCGACGATTTAAACGCCGGCTTTCAGCCACTCCCCCTGCTGCTTCCATCTGCTCTCGTCTGTTTTCCAGGCGAGGCGCAGCTCAAGTCTGGATTTGAAAAGGGTGAAGCTGTCAATGTTTCTGATGTTTGGGGGGAGTGAGTTTCAAAGACGGGGAGCAGAGCGGCTGAAAGTTCTGCATCCCGTGGTGCTGAGGCGGGCAGGAGGAACAACAAGATGGAGGGAGGTAGAGGATCTGAGAGAGCGTGAGGGAATGGCAACATTAATGAGACCTGATATATTTGGAGGAGAATGATTGTGGATGGCTTTGAAGGGGTGGAGGAGAATCTTGAAAGTGGGCCTAAATTTAACTGGTAGCCAGTGGAGCTGCTGGTGGGCCGGGGTGATGTGGTGAAAGGAAGGGGTTCTGGTGCTAATACGGGCTGCTGAATTCTGGATCAGTTGTAATTCATGACGGGGTTGGTGGGGGAGACCAAAAGGAAGTGAACTGCAGTAGTAAAGGCAGGAAGTGACAAGGCTGTGGACAAGAATGGTGACAGCGTGAGGGATAAGGGAGGGGTGAAGATGATTTATGGATTGAAGATGGATGTAGTTTGACTGAATAATGTTATTGATGTGGGCATGAAAAGAAAATTTACTGTCAAGGAGAACACCCAGACTCAACCTGGGGAGAGGGAGAGACTAGCGCTATCAATGTTTTTGGAGACAGAGGATTTGGTGCCAACGAGAAAAATCTCAGTTTTATTGTCACCCCCCCCCCCCGCATGTGACGTACGGAAGACACGTCAGACTGATGAAATTTCTTTTTCAGGACCTTTAGCTTTGCTGTGACCTGCTTTTTGTCCCGCTTGACGCCCCGCTCAGCCAGTGTTTTCACCACTCTGTCGAACAACTGGCTGTCTCTCACCGTCCCCGTAAAAAGGCAACTAATCTGTTCTTCCGCTTGCACAGCCAAAAGCTCCATGGTCTCCGCGTCCATCTGACCGGCTTTCCTTCCGGCCGGCACCCGGCGCACAGTATACGTGACTAACGCGACGACCCTCTTTTGCGGGGGGGGGGGGGGGGGGGGGGGGGCTCCCACAGTCGCTCCAAAGGGATTAGCGGGGCTGACACGCGATTAGCCGTCAGAGGCGAGGGGCTGATGCGGCAATATTACTACCAAGCGAGGTGGAACGAATGCCGCAATATTCGCGCAACGCCATGCCGGCATGGCGCGTTTAAAGACATACCATTGCGGTAATAATACGCCGATTTACCTGCATGGTGTGTCCTATAAAAGCACCTACCAAGTCTGAGAAAGCTTGAGGTGAACCAAGATACGATTTCTGAAAGGCAGTGAGTAAGGGAGGAGGGTGTGACAGTGTAGTCAGGTTTACTGGAGATGTAGAGCTGGGTGTCATCCACAAAACAGTGAAATTGGATGTCAAATTTGCGGAAGATAATACCAAGGGGGAGTAGATAAGTTATGAAGAAGAGGGGACCCAGGACAGAGCTCTGAGGTACACCTGAAGTGACTGGGGAGGGCTGTAAAGTGAAAGATTTTAACTGGATGAACTGAGTGCGGCCAAATAGTGAAACCAGCGGAGTGGAGTATGAGTTATACCTAAAGAGAAATGTCTATTGAGGAGGATAGGGTGAGAAATAGTGTCAACGGCTGTGTTCAGATTGAGGATGGAAATTAAACCAGAATCAGCAGCAATGAGAAGGTCGTTGGTGATTTTAATAAGGGCAGTTTTGGTGCTGTGGTGGGAACGGAACCCAGATTGAAACTGATCAAAGAGGTCATTATAAGTAAGATGGGAGTGAAGCTGGGATGCAACTGTTTTTTCTAGAATTTTGGAAATGAAGGGAAGGTGGGAGATGGGGCAGTTTATTGAAATAATGTTTTTTTCAGTATAGGACTGACTGCTGCGGATTTAAAGAGGGATGAAACAGTTCCAGTAGACAGTGATGAGTGAATGATGATGGCTGTAATGAGGGAGAGCAGGAAGTGAAGGCAAGACTTAACCAAAACTGTGGGAAGGGGGTCTAACTGACAGGTGGAAGATTTGGCCTTAGTGATGAAGTCGGAAATTACTGAGGACCAGGGGCGGCGTTAGGCCCGGCTACTTGGGCTCAAGCCCCGAATGTTTTATGAAAAGACTAGTGCGTGTTACGTGTGTGTGTGTGTGCGCGCGCGTGTGTGTTAAGCCCCTGGTCTTCTTCAGTCCTAAATCCGCCCCTGCTGAGGGCTGGGGAAGATTAAAGTTGGAGAGTTGAAAAGAGGGCTGAAAGAAATCAGGGAAAGAGGGTGAGGAGGGAGGTAAAACGAGGGTGCCGAGGTGTTGATGGATACTGTTGACTTTCTCATTGAAAAACTGAAGGAGAAAGTTAAAGGTTTCAGAAGAGAAGAGAAGAGAAGAGAAGAGAAGAGAAGAGAAGAGAGTCAGGAGCCTGAAAGATGCTATTAAAGATGGAAAATATATTGTCTTAGTATTGCCCGTGTTGGAACCATCGACATATAAATGTAGTGGGATGAGTCAACTGCCACCAAGTAATTGGATGACCTATCATTGAGGGAAGGCGCTAATATAAATAGGGCCTGAGGTGGCGCTACAGCGATCTTTTACTTTGGCTCAACTTCCACTTCCTGTGTGAAGCGCCATTGTGTACGGGACTCCAGAGTATCGAACTGTGAGTACCATCTAAAAACGCTGCAGTAGTTGCATGGAGTCTGGTGTTTATTGGTTGCTCCTGCCACAGGAATTGTTGTATGTGGTCCTCCCAGAGTAACGGAAGGCTTCTCTTTTATCCTATGTGCTTCAAAGAAGTGGTATGTACATCTGCGCTCCTCTCCACTTAGCTGTGGCTTTAGGATAATACTAATTAATGTGTCTTCCAGATCCAGGAAGGGGTGTGTCTCCACGGGAGACTCTGTTGTTCTGCTGCTTTTCTGCACTGCTTCATGGGATCTCTGTTTACCGGTTGTTGATCCGGTGTTGGACCATCATCCGGGTCCAAGGCCTCTCCACCCCGCTGCTCGGACTGGTTGACGGGATCAGCGGAGACCATCGGGAGCGGCTTTTGTCACTCGCTCCTCTGTACTGAATACCAGCGGAGGGCATATACCCGCTGTGGGTTTGGGTATTTCAACGAGGGGCTGCGGGCCCTACCGGCAGTTGTCGGCCCGGGAGCTCATAAGGATGGCTGAGGCTCAGGCTAATAGACTCGTGTGCATGCTCGCTCATTTCCTGACAGCCTGCCTGCTCAGTCGTGGCTGTGTTTTAGTGTGTGTGTGTGTACGTGGGTGTGGATTTGGATTTTCACCGTGCTTTCTGTTTTCTTTTCATTTAGGCTGTGAGCTGACAGTGGTGGTCGAGCCCTGGTGGTGGTTCCCTCTGGTGTGCGTGTGCTCCAGAGTCACTTCACCCCCCGAATGCATGCACGTGTGATTGGGGTGAAATTACTTGTGGTTTGTATTTTGTTCAGAGAGTTAAGTTCCGGGCTCTCTTAGGCAGTCCCATTAGTCAGCCTCAGCCTAAGTTGATTTGGTTTTAATCTGTGTTGATCTGAAGGTGCATGGTGTTTTTTAGTAGATTATTTTAAACTCAATTTAATGTTCTTTTAATAAAATCCCTGTTTATGTGGAATGGAACTCAGTCTCAAGCTTGATTTGTAAAAATGAACTTATGTGCCTTAGGTTCAGTGGTTTTGGTTCCTGATAATCAGGTGGCGTTGTACTTCTAAATTGATAAGTGGCCCCGCTCGCCACATAAATACAGATACAGGTTGGAACTACAATACAGGATGGAACAGATGAGACCGGAGTAATACTGTGATTTAGCATGAGAAATGGAGTCAGTGGACAGAAATCTGAGCAGAGTATAAGTCTTCATGGATAGTGGGACCAGTTTTCTTATAGAGTCTTTCGAGCCTTTGGTTAGTGGCTTTCCTGGAGTGTAGGGCAGGAGTGAACCCTGGAGCAGACCGGTTAAAAAAGACAGAGCGGGATTTGATGGGGCAATTGAATTGGGGATGGAAACCAGACCATTATTGTA